ACTTACATTGCAGCCGTATTGGTTTTCTTTTCATTTTTAATTAAAGTACTGTCAAAATATGGTGTTATCTTAGTTTCAGGCATACAACATAGTGATTTTGACAACTCTCTGTGTTATGCAGAGCTCACCACAGTAAGTATAATTACCTTCTGTCCCCATACAACATTATGACAGAATTGAACATAATCCCGGTGCCATACCTTTCATCCCCGTGGCTTATTTATTTTATAACTGGAAGTTTGTACCTGGAAAGGAGGGAGGGGCTTTCTTTCTCTATCTCTGTTCTCCAGAAAGCATCTATTTGTTGAAGCCTGTGGTTTCCTGGCTAGCTAAGCTTGCTGGTTTGCTTGCCCGCTTCCTTTTTTCTTCCTTTCTTTTTTGACAACAGGACTGTTCAAATGCAATGTTATATTCAGCCCTGGGGTATAAAGCAGATAAAAGGGAAGGTGTGCAGATTTCAGAGTAGGGAAGGGTCTGCCTGCTTGACTCCCCCTCCCTGGCTTCCCTGGGTGGTTTGGGAGGCACATCTCCTGGGGTTCCACAAAGCCGGGCTGGAGAGCTAAGCTCCTTACTTGGTGAGAAAACCCAGGCTTAATGAGACAAGCGCCCAGCTGGGCTGCTGCTCCCTGTGGCTGCTGGTTGCTCTGGGCGATAGGCCGCTTTGGGAAGGTGCACTGGAATAACAAGGGCATAAGACAGACAACCCAGGTGTGAGCCTAGATGCTGCAGATCAGCGGCTGGGAGACCCTGGGGTTACTTAGAATGTCCATGACTTGCAGGTCCTCAACTATAAAACATGGACGGGGCTCACTGACATGATGAACGTGAAGCAGCTAGGGGGTCGTGGCCAGGGGTCTATGGGTGGCGAATGTTTTTATTAAAGAAGCTAACGAAGGGGACCCAAGTCCAATGGACTGAGGTTAACAGAGAAGGCGGTTAGTGTGGAGTGAGGGGAATTAGGGCTTTGGCCCCTGCACTTTGTGCTCTAGGGCCCTGAATTCTCCCCACTCTGCAGAGGAGGTTGTGGTCACGGCTCCTTCACAGGACTGTGGGGCACATTTGGAAGGCAGGGGTGGGTGACAGACCCAGCGCTGCCCCCTGGTAGATCTCCCATCTCCTGGGGTGGGAGGAGGGGGTGGAGTGGGCAGCAGGAGGCTGTGCCTATGGGAGGGGAAGGAAGTGGCCGAGCTCATGGTTCTGAGTTTCTCCTACGGCCCCATGTTGCAGTTCCTGCAATGTTCCTGTTACCACACACCTTGATTCTTTGATAAAGATGGTGAAGTTCTTTTCTTGGCTGTGCTCAGTCTTGTGGGCCGAAGAGAAAGGGTGTTGCATGTTTGGGGTCCTCGAGGCCTCAGTCCAGAGAGTCTTGGCTGTGTCAGAAGGGACAAGGGGTCTCCCTGGGACCAGTTAGATCTCCCAGTGCAAAAGCCTGGTGGGAGTCCCCATGTCCCATGACTCCGGATAACCCGTGATGACAGACTCTTGCTTGGATTCTCTGACTGGACTCAAGCTGTGCTGTTGTCGTTGATGTTGCTGTGTTACATTTTTGGAAGTGGCACAGCCTGGTGGAAAAGACTCTGCATGGGAAGATGGGAATCAAGAAACCCGAGCTCTTTCCTGGCTGTGTCCGTAACTCAGTATTTGGCTGTGGGCCTTGATTTGCCCATCTCTAAGTGAGAGAATTTGATGATAGAATCTGTAAGGTTGCATTCAGCTCTAAGACTCTTGTGTCTCTCCCCCCCTCCACGTGCCCTTTCCCATTTAAAGATACTTAAATCCAGGTTGTAGCTGTAGAGAAGCTGGCTAGATCTTCTATATGGCAGCATTTTTGAGTTGTAACTACCTGCTGTCTGTTGCCTAAGGAACTTTAAAATATTATTGAATCCTCACAGAAGCATTGGTGGACACTATTATTCCCATTTTGTAGTAAGGAAACTGAGGCTCAGAGATGCTAAACCAGTCGTGTAAGGCTTGGCGACCAGTATGTGCTGATGTGAGCCTTGGATCCCACGTCGTCTGGACGCCCTGGAGCCAACCTTACTGTCCTAGCCGTTAGTGTGAGAACTTCCTTGGAGGAGAGCTCACTCTTTTAGACAACATGTCTTTACGACAAGGTGATAGGGAAACTGGTGTGTTCCCAGTGTTGTGCTGGAGACCTTCTAGATGTGCTGTTTTCCAATGCCCATCAATGTCCTAAGGTGTGTAGTGTTATTACCACTTACAGGTAACAACCCCAGAGCAGTAGGAGACTTGATTGGGGTCTCACGGCGAGCAAGTGGTTTACAACATGTTTTAGACTCAGGTTGTGAGTTTCCAAAGACTTCTCTTTTCCTGGCTCACACATTCTCTCACTGGAGATGGAGCAGTCTGTGCTCCCCCACCCCCCGGACCTTCTCCAAGCCAAGAAGTGATGTCTCGGATGGGGGGAAGGTCTGTGCAAATTCCAGGGGCCTCAAAGATTGTCACAATGGACAGCTAGGTGCCTGCCTTCCATGCTCCGGGACACAGTTGTTCCCAGCTTCCAGAAACTTCCCTCCATCCATCCCAGGGTGGTAGCCTCATCCCACTTCTATGACATCTGTAGAGAGGAAACTCAACAAACACTTGTTAACTTACCTTCCCCAAGGAAGACTGGGACCTTGTTTTCCAGTGAGGGTCACAGAGATCTTTCCCGGGACACAGAGCTCTCTCTGGAGGCTGCCAAGAGGCCCACGTACTGATGATAGTTGATAAAGGAAGTGCTCTGTCTCCACTTTAGAAACTGCTGGCTAACCCTGAGACAAATAATACATTATATGTTAATAAACAAAAAAAATAGAAACTGCTGAGTGCAGGCTGCATCTCTGCAGAGGCTAGTCTATCACTGGGCTGAGACTGATTCCATTTCCTTACATATCTGGCTCCTGGTCAGTGCTCAGTATACACCTGAATGAATGACAAGAGCCAGTTCCTCCAAAACTGAATTTTCGAAATATTAGAAGAGTACTGTTCAGGTCATTGGAGGAGTGCTAGGAACCTCTGTGGAACATGCCGGAAGCCGAGGCGGCGCTTCGGAAGGGTAGAGGCAAGGGTGACTGCCTTCGACACCAGCAGGTGTCTCTGTTGGGCGCTGCCGCTGGCCGACTCAGCTCTGTTCGCTGTGCCGTTCATATCCCTCAGGGAGCTGGGGTCCAGGTTGATCCCCTTTATCTTCCCCACACAATTCTGGGAAGGTCCTCTGCACAGAGGAAGGTGTTCTGGGCAGGCAGGGATACTCAGAGTGTCTGTTACAGTAGATGAGGCAACCCTGGCCCTCGGGGTTTACAGCCGGGGTGGGGAGGAGATGAAGATTGATAAGCGAAGGAATAATTAACAGTAGGTTGTGCTGGGGGCGTTGAGACCTTAGCGGGGAAGTGTCAGGGAAGGCACACAGAGAAGCTGGTTTTGAGATTGACTTTTAAAGGCTAAGTACAGTTTTTCCAGCTGGTTCTTGTGTGACATTTGAGCAAATGGAAGAATGGTGTGTCCTGGAACAGCCAGGAGTTGCCAGTGCCTGGTCTAGAGAGTTCATCCTAGAGGGTGGAGTGTGGGTGGGGCCAGCCCTTAATGGGTCCTGTGTGCTCTTTTAGGCAATGGGACTTCCAGGAGATGGACAGAAGGAATGACTTTTTAGGAAGTCGATTTCAGGGGTTGTAGCACTGCCCTCGAATTCGGTTTCTTGGAATATGGCTGTCAAGTTTGGGTTGCTGATGGTTCCAGACAAGCCAGAGAATGCCATGATGGGGGAGCCAGCTGGTCAGAACAGACTCCGCAGGTGTCTGGAGAGTCTCAGATTTCAATGGGAATTCCCAGTAATTCCATCATCTGTTGAAGGTGGGGTGTGTGTGTGTGTGTGTGTTGGCGGGGAGGTTGGTAGCAGGTAGAGTAGGGAGGCCCCTGGTGGGTTCAGAGTGTCTGGGTGACACGTCTTGGTTTAGAAAGCCCTCTGGAGGTCGTGGAGAAGCAGGTGTAGGGGAATTGTCGCTCCCCACTTCTACTGCCAGGGACCCGTTTTCCCTCTGTGCTTAGAAGTGGTCAGTGTGTCGTGTGGCGCTGGGGAGAATGTAGAAACAGCTGAGGCCCTGGATGCTGAGGGGGAGTGGAAGCGGTTCCTTTAGATTGCCGTTTTGTGATTTTGCAGAGGAAGTGGAATGAGATCAAGAACGTCGGGGTCCCCAGGGGTTGCCGGGGGCTGAGGGGAGAGCTTCCTTTTCCATATAAACATGTGTTCTGACAGGGAACAACACACAGTGCTGGGTTTTTTGCAATAGGTGGTTTATGAAAACAGGAAAATCTTTGCTCCCACTGTGAGGATCAGAAGCGAGTGCTGTGGAGGAACCGAGGCTAGAAACTGTTCCAATAGAGATCTCTGGTAGGGCAGACATGCATTTGAACACTGTGTGGAAGGGGCTGGGAACGTGGGGTCCAAATCCAAGAGACAGGCTAGAATCTGTCTCCACATATTAGCTGTGTGACTGTGGCCAAGTTATGCAACCTCTCTTTTAGGTTCTCCAACTGGATTGAGTCCTAATACTACCCCTACTACTACCCCTACCACCTCCAACAACAACAGTAACAACAACATTAAAACCTAGCATTTATTGAGTACTTACAGTATGCCAGGCACAATGAAAACATGTTTTAGCTTCATTGTCTCATTTCTTAACTGCCCCCCCCCCACTTTTAGTGCTTTGTCCGCATTTTACAGATAAGGAAGCCGAGGTACAGTGAGGTCAGTAGCTTACCCATCCCTCCCTTTCTCCCCCACCCTCCTGCCAAAAGTCAGTAAGCTGTGCAGCTGGGGTTGAAGTGCAGACAGTGTGAGGTTGGAGTTTGATGCCTCGCAGAGCTGTTCTGAGTTTTAAGGGAGATCCTATATGTATAATGCTTAGTATGGGCGTAGCGCCAGGTGAGGATTTGGTGCCCTGAGCCCCCTCTCGGGTCCTGAGCCTCACTCTGCTCCTTTCTGTCTCCCACAGAAGCAGCTCACACAGGATGATGATACGGACGAGGTCGAGATTGCCATTGACAACACGGCTTTCATGGATGAGTTCTTTGCAGAGGTAGGAGACAGTCCTGAATGTACATAAGGAAACTCGGCTCTTTCAAGGGTAGCGAAGGACGGTTGGTCTTTTTCTGGGGTGGGGGCGGCCAGGTCAAGCAGTTGCCCAGAGATTCTCTTCCATACATACTTGGGAGGGGCTGGATCTTTAATCTTACTGAGAAAGTCAGCGGAGGGTTAAATTATACGTAAAGAGATGTTTTTAAGGTCTTATGCTACATGACACCATTTTCATGATACCCTTTCTTGCCTAAATTTTGTGATTTCAATACAGGATCAAACATGGGGGTCACAGTCAAGAGTATAGAAGAAAAAAATACTACATTTTTTGGTCCGTGATTCAGATAGATCTGATTTGTTGTTTCCAAAAACTCAGGCCCTTTGACTTAAGTCTAGTGATAACTGTAACACTTAAGAAACGAGCAGTTTATGTTTTTGGAAGTTCAGCAGGGCAGAGATGGGTTGCCCCCATCTGTAGATCCACATAATCTTTGATCTCGAAGGTCCTCGTGGGGAATGCTGCTGTTTGATGGTGAGTGGTGGAGTAGAGTCATGGGTTCACATCTCAGCCCTGCTGCTGGCCTGTGGTGGTTCCTTCCCACACGTGGTTTCCATATCTGGATCGATACTATAATCCTCTGTGGGGTTATTACGAAGATATCCTGGAATAATGTTTGTAAGGTTGTAGTATCTGACCTGTACGTGCCTGATGGATAATCCTTCAAAACAAAAGCAAGAAAAGTTCCATGATGGAAGTTTCTGCCATCATACTGGGGGCTTTTTGTTTGTTTTTTTTTTTTTAATTTAGGCTTTTTATTTTTTTGGAAAGAAGATAAGGAGCGCTACATTCTTTCCGCAGGAAGAATGTGGGGGTACCTCCTGTCTCTAGGTCGGAGATGTGGGAAGTCACCCTCTAGCTCTTGTCTAAATAGCATGGCGGTTCACGGCAGGTCATCTGTGGGAGTCGTTAGCGGGTAGGAGCGAACTGCAGCGCGTGCTGGCCTGATGGGGAAGTTGTCTGTGAACGCCCACAGTTCCCCCCGCCTCGCCTCCGCCTCCCTGGGTGAGTCTGTCCTTCTGGTCGAGGAGTCCCTGTGAGACCCAAGAGCACTTGAGTTTTGTGAGTCCAGTGCTGTCCCAGGTGTGGATCGTGGCAGGAACATGTCCTTTCAGGGGTGGGGAGGACCCCTGTAGGCACGATAGCTTGTTCTGATCTTGCCTTGGAGAAGCAGAGACGTTAGAGAACATCTTCCCTTAGATAAGGCAGCTTTGCCAGAAACAGTGCTTTGCCCCTTGTAAGCCAGCATGAGGGTCCCCGGAGGGCAGGGTCCCATGTGAGGTGGGAAGATGGTGGGCCTCCACAACGAGGTCCCAATTCCTCAAGCATTTCTTAGCAGTTGATTTTGGTCCAGTCACTTAACGCCCTTGGCCTCTAATTCCTGCTCTGGAAATTGGGAATGTCAGTACGTACTTTCAAGGTTGTTATGGGGATAACGTGGGTATCACACATCCGGCAAGGGTTCTCTGAACAGAAAAGTGCTGGCTGCATCAGAGTCATTTTTGGAATCTTAACAAGACCTCAAGGGCTGCTTTTCTTTTTTGCCTTCTTCTTACCAGATGCTTTTCTGTCATTGAGGAAAAGGAAAAAACAAAAAACAAACCCAAACCCTGTCATATTTAGGGTGGGGGAGGGGACTACACCGTGGGGGGGAAAGAGAGTCATCTTTGGAGTTAAGTTCTTTATCTGCTACTAACTGTGTGATCTTGGACATGTTTCTTGACTTCCCCCAGTTTCTGTGAGCTGGTCTGTGAAATGGGGAGCAACATAGTCACTTTGCAGATTTGTTGGGGAGTAAAGGAGTTGATCCCCAGAAAATGCTTTGTTTGGGCTTAGGTAAATGTCACTCCCCTGCTTTGCATCTGACGGGGTCCTGGGAGGATCACGCTGCAATAGGGCAGGGGCAGGGGGAGTGGGTAAGGGTGGCCATGGACTGTGGAAAGAGGCCACGTAGGCTCTGGTGTCCACGGGTCCTGGTCCAGATCTCAGCACCGTCCTGACCAGCAGCATGACTTTGGAAAAGTTGTTTCACTACCCTGAACCCCAGCTTCCTCTAAAGCAGGACTAGTGGTGTTACCTGCTGGATATTATAAATGTAAATGGAGAACATACGTAGATGTACTGAGCACAGTGGCTGACATACAGTACGTCTTCATCTGTTTGAGCTGTGCTCGCTCTTCCGTTCCTGATGTTTTTGGGAATGTGGACTGGAAATAGCCTTGAAAGTGGGATAAAGTACGTGCCAGGTAATGGGGGTTTGGACATGAGGAGGGGCCCCTGTATGTGGCTGGGGACACCCTGAGTGCATCCTGCGGGAATAGAGCCAGACCGATGGCTTGGGAGGGCACTCTTGCGATATGCCTTGCTTTCTGGACTTGTTCCAGCAAGCAGGTCCCGCGGCTGTTTGTCGAGAACTGAGTGTGTGAATCACAACCCGGTCAGAGGGGCGGGTGCAAGGTGCAGTTGAAGTCATGCGACCAGGACGTTTTCAGAATGTGCACTGCACTGTAAAACTCAAATGGGTTCTCCAGCTTCTCAGCCGTTACAGAAAATAATTGGCTCTTGGGTCCCCAGGCCTTGGATGATTACGCCGGGGGCCAGTAAATGATAAACCTCCGATTAGTGTCTGATTTGTGCCTGTCTGTATTTTCTTTGCTCTGTTTGCTCAGTTGGCAGAGAGAACACATTTTCAGAGGAAGTGGACCTGCCCGCGAAGGCAGAAGCCTCAGGGGCTTACTCTGTATCCGTTGGTCCCTTCACGAGAATACACACAGGCTTATGTCTCTCACAGGGCGTGTTAAGGACTGGGACTAACAACATTCTGTGTGACAGGGTCCTTTGCCCTCTGGTGTCCCTTTATCTGGTGAGTCACCGAGATAGAAACATCAAGGCCCCAGGGGAGCACAGCAGGGGAGAGAGGAAGGTGAGGGAAGGCCCCGGTGGTTCTTAACTAGACCTGCCCCTCAAAGTCACCTGGGGAGCTTCCTGTCCATCCACGTGTCCTGTTCAGGGGGCCTGGAATGGCTTAGACTTCCAGCTCTTCGGGAAATCTATCCAGATGAGGATGAGTCTTCGTCTTCTGCTTCTGCGGTTATGAACCGCTTCAGAGTGACAGGGGAGCCCTTGAAGGTGTTAAGCAAGAAAATGCTGGGCACAGACTGTGTTTCAGGAAAATCGTTCTGGTGGCAGTTTGTGGAGGTGGGGGGGAAGGCCAGCAGTGGAAGGACTAGCCGGCTGGCTGGTGCAGCAGCCTGTGGGAAGGAGGATGAGGACTCTGACCCGGGTCTGGCACTGTCTAGGGGTCATACCACGGCATTCTACCTGGGGTGCTTCTGAGTAACTGTGGCTTAAGCAATAAAGGTGCGTAATCAGTTCTCACGTGAAGACGTCTGCGTTGAGGTTGGTGCGGTGGGTTGGAGGTGGTGGGGGTCTGGGTCAATACGTCTCTGATCTTCTTGGCTTTTCCCTTGGGACTGGGAAATAGAGTCTGTTCTGATTCCCTGTTGCCGTATGCCAGATCACCCCAGTATTTAGGGTGTCAAAACAACCATTTTATCGTGTCGACAAAGTCTGTGGATTAGGAATTCAGGCACAGGGCACAGCGGAGGTGGGTGACTTTTGCGCCATGATTTCCAGGGCCTTAGTTGGGAAGACTAGAACAGCTGGGTGCTGGAACTTAGAGCGACTTCTTTATTCAAACGTCTGCTGACTCAAGGGAAATCTCTGTAGAGACCCTCCGTTGGAGTGCCCCTGCCTGAACCATCTCCGTGGCTTGGGTCTCTTAGCCCGGCCCACTCCGCATCCTCGGGGTCTCCTCTCCTCCCTGTCACACGGAGGCTCAGGGCTCCGATGCAGGGTTCCAGCTCTGGAGGTCCTGTGGTACGTCACTTCTGTGCTTGGATGTCAGAGCAGTCACAGGCCTGCCAGGTTCACGAGAGCGGTGCATGGATACCGCCGCTTAGTGGGAGGACCATTAAAGAACCAGTGCCACGTTTTAAAACTTCCAGAGCCACAGCTCCTTATGACACGCCACCACCGTGTACCAGCATTGCAAGAAGTCAGAAACGGGGAAGCCAGAGCAGTCCCCAGATCCTTTTATGAGGTGAGAAAACCACCCAGATCCTCTGAGTTGACTTCCCCTTGGGGCCCACTGACCAGCAGTGGATCACGTGGTCACGGCCACTGAGCTGGGAGGGGCACGAGGGATTGACGTAGAACTGATCCTGACTCATCACCGCCTGGGGCTGACAGCATTGCCAACTGGGCAGACTAGAGTTCTGTTCACAAGGAAGGGCAGGGGCAGGGGATGGCTAATTGGTGCATCAAAGTGCTCGTCAGGGGTGGTGAGCAAATACGTTTGAAAATGCTTTGTGCTCTTTTCCTCCCGTGGGGAATTAAAATGTACGTGAACTTACTAAAGGCTCTGAGATGTCCCATAATAAAGAAAACTGTTTAATTTGCTTATCTGAGCATTTATTTTTTTCACAGAACGCTTTCTGACGCATAACTTCTATTAGCAGGGGTGTACAGTGACGTTTCAGAAAATGCTATTATAAAGTTTTTGGTGGTTTTTTTTTTTTTTTTAAGATTTTATTTATTTATTTGACAGAGAGACACAAGTAGCACAAGTAGGCAAATGAGCAGGCAGGGGAGAAGCAGACTCCCGGCCAAGCAAGGAGCCCGATGTGGGACTCAATCCCAGGACCCTGGGATTATGACCTGAGCCGAAGGCAGCCGCTTAACCGACTGAGCCACCCAGGAGCCCCAGAAGAAGTGTTTTTAAAAAAAAGTCTGTGAGACTGTTTGGCAGTTCCAGTGGTCTATGAAGCTTGCTTGTCTCCCGAAGTTACTTGCATTCATTTATTTACTCAGTCAACAGACTTATACTGCGTCACGCCCCGTGCTTGGCCAGTGATGGCTGTGAGGTAGTGCAAGCAGGAGGA